ACATCTCTAAGTATTCCATTATGTCTGTAATTTCATTAACGGAAAAAAAAAGAGAGAGCAGAGGACTGTCAGAGGTAATTAAAAGATAAGGTGAACAGTACAGTCTGCTCGCCCGGCTGCATTAAGACATTTAGCTTCTACAGTCGGAGCATAATATCCCCTCAACACACACACATACATGTAACACACATATATAACACTGTAGTGATCACAGAGGTGCTCTCCCACCTGCCAAGCATACTCCTGGCAGATGTGAGCACTGGAGGGAGATGTGTTGCCGTCCTGCCGTGTTGAAACTGGTGAGATATTGAGTGTGACGTGTGCACAATGGTTGTCAACATGAATGACTCATAAACAAGCAAGAGATTAGGACAGCCTACACCGCGGCTCATTTCTGCAGAGATCGGAGAGGAGGCACGACACCATCTCAAATATCAATTCTCACTTCCATCTTCTGTTTTTTTTTTTTTATGTCGTCTTCACGTGGGCTGGGGGAAAACTGGCAGCAGAGGACCAACATCAAAACTCAGGGATCATTTTTACTTGGTGGTTTTCTGGTTTGTGTTTGGTTTATTTCACCCTCCAGTAGATTAGGCACAACAGATAATACATTTTTAAGTATAAAAACCAGGGTACCCCAAGATTCCTGAGGTCAAATTTAAGATCTTTATCAGACCACTTCAACTAAAATCCAGTGCCAACATTGTGACATCACTGGCAAAGGAAGAATGGTCTACTAGCACAATTTGTTGGGTCACCGCCAACAGACCAGCCAAGCATTAACCAGAATTACACCAGCGTAAATCAACATAATTTACATCCTGGTCTCGGAGCTTTTCTATCACTATTATGATGACCTGAAGAGTCTCTCAATAATATTGGTCACCATGGTGACAAGGCTTGCCACAACTAGTGATTGGTTGTCAGGAGAACAGCCAAAAAAGTCAGAGCACTCTGAAAAAGACGCTGGATGCAGTATATGCTCTCATGCTGGTGTAAAAAAACAAACATTATTGTGACATGTAGTGGGCTAGCTAACGGCAGTGTTTGCTAACAAGCAGTAAGTTAGTAAGTACTAACAGTAAGTACCTCAACAACAACAACAACAACCAAAACAGTAAAATACAATCAGAGGACAGGTCACCACCGCACATGAATGGAGCCCCATTACGTGATGATTGAGCAGCATTACTTTTGTATAAGTCTATATGTAAGGCCTTCATTTGAGGGAGAAAAAAATTGCTCTGGCATGTTTTTGTTGACATAACTGGAAGAAATACAAGATGTGACTCTGATTATTACAGGGGGGAAAAAAAACCACTTGGTCTGCAGAGACTGTTCTGCTGCTTTATAGCTTGTAGAAGAAGAATCTCTATGGCTGTATAATGAGCGCAGATGGAGAGTTTTAACGAGAAAGTGACACCCCGAGTATTGCTGCAGCTACTCCACCCTCCAGCTGCAGGGATGAGAAGCATGGAAAAAAAAGAAGAGCAGATTAGAGGAGAATGGTGGATCAACTTCATCAGTTAATTAAACTCTATTGCAGCTTGATGAGCAATTAATCAAGGCGGCGTGCAGAGTGTCAGGCAGGGCTGAGTTCTTCGGTGTGGTGTGTGTGTGTGTGCACCATACAGTATGTTCCGGGGGGGGGGGGGGCCTGTGGGGAGCAGCACTTACCAAGTGAGCAGCCCTAAAATTGTACAGGGTGTAATGGGCTGGGTTTATGTAAGCAGCTATCAATCACTCTGTGACATAAGCCTGCACCCTATTAGAGCTCCAGGATTAGGCTCCTCTCCGTGGTAATCTAACCGAGAATTACTTGTCTAAGTGGATCCAAATTTCAGGAAATGCTGAAATGTGTTTGATAATTATTTAGTGAAGTAAGCATGGGCGTTCAAAGCAAATCCCAGCCTTGTATCGGAAGGCAGAGGCAACACCAGTCTAAGTTAATCACGTTAATATGGGAGAAGCATGAGCATGTCAGAGATGTGACTTTTCCTGCAGATTTAGATTCTTATCTTTCATCTCATATCTGACTCCCTCAATCTGACGGTTTGGGAGTTTCTTGTTCTTTGTCACTCGGCCACTTTCATCTACGTCTTCCATCTCTTTCAGGACGTGTGAGGCGGGCCTTTTCTTTTTATGCTATGGAAATTCGAGTTGGCAGTTTGTGACTAAACGCAGTAAATTTATTAACGAGACCATGGGGAACATTAAAAGTCAATTGAAGGAGGCTATTAAAAGCAGGATTTTTAATTGGGTTGGTCCCTCCACTATAACATCTTTTTTTGTCTATCTCTCTCTCCTTTTTTTTTTTCTGAGAGTACTAAAAAAGTTCTCAATTAATGTGTTTGTGTGTGCTAGTCCTTGAAAGAAAGTTCCCATTTGGACTCACAGATGCTACACTCTTGAGTTACATTTCACTGTAAATTGGAGCTCTTGAAAGATAGAGAATTGGGGTGAGAATCTGCCTGGCTGTGAGGTCTTGATGATGGCAGATGCTCGTCCTATCTGCTGTCTCTCACTGTGCAGTTTAGTCCTGCTGCGGAGCTGCTGTCTCGGTGGCTCTCACTGAAGAGATTTTTCAAGAGGGGGCAAATCTCTTAAAATGACAGACTACAATTTGCACAAGGCTTTTACTACAACAGCAGCAGCCTCTACAGATCATCCCCCCGCCCGTTCAGCTCTAAAAACTTGACTGCACTGTAGCCACTGTAGCATCTGCTTTCCAGTTTCTGTTGATTGGTGTTTAAGCCCGCGAGAGGGTCAGTTAATTGTGTTGGTACTGTGGTTTAATGCATCAGATTATATAATCTGTTGAAATTACATTACAAAGCTACAATTGTCCTAGTTTTTGGTAACTTGGTGTGACACATTACAAATGGGTTTAATTGCACTTTAGCTTCTGGCTCTTGAGACCATGCGCGACTCATTCTGCACTTTAAGGGGACCAAGCTGTGTGTGTGTGTGTGTGTGTGTGTGTGTGTGTGTGTGTGTAGTAGTAGTGGTGGCCTTAAAAAGAGTCAATTTGTGCATGTAGGGGAGTCAAAGAGAGAGAGATGTAGTGTAGTATTGGCTGTGCTGACTGGATAATGACATGCAGAGTGCGGCGCTGCTACAGCAGGTTGAGCCCCCAACCAGATGCTCCTTTCACTGCAGCCCATAAGCAGAGAGGCTGCATCAACACACACACACACATACACAGACACACACTCTCATCCGAGCTGGATTAAGCAGGAGGATTGAGGGACTTCGATCATGTCGAGTAATAAGAGCTTATTAGAGTAGATCACAATCATGTGTGGATGTGACGAGATGGAGGCTAAGCTCAGTTCAAGCTGTCTTTGAGACATCCTCCTTATGTTTCACTACTTGTATTTTTTTACTCTCTCTCTCTCTCTCTCTCTCTCTCTCTCTCTCTGTGTGTGCAATGATTTTAATGTTGACTGCAGTTTAATGATTCAGTCTCATGGAAACTGTTCAGATTCAATGATATCCTCACAGCAAGATCTCAAGCTACTTCAGAGTTTTTGTGGTGATGGCGAGAGTGTGTCTCCAGTATTTTGAAGGGGAAATACTTAGGATTGTGTGTGTGCATGTGCATGTGTGTTTGTGTGTGTGTAGTAGGTGAAAAACATTTTATAGCACTTTAAAAAGCAGGTAGCAGCGTCGCACAGAGGGACAGGCACACAGCACTCTGAAGCTCGAGGGGAAACTCTTACCTACTGACTATATAATTTATTCAAGTGATGTTATTAAAACTATAAACAACAAGACGCCTATTACAGGGGTTTTTTTTATGACGTTTTTCAGAAGAACACAGAACCAGCAGTGTTCAAATATATCATCGATGTTACATGCGGCTGCCAGTCCGAGGCTGTAATCCATTCAGGTATTCTGAGTTATGGTCAACACAGCAGGTCCTGCAGTTTAATACATAAACACCAGGAAATGTCTTTTCAGCCTGTACACTGCAAAAAACAGATGTGCATGTGATAAAGAGGATCCTTTAAGGAGAGCTTATGTTGTCATATAAGTGACTCTGGGGGGTGACAGATGTAAACCCCAACGGGAACAGCACAAAGGAAAAGCCTCACACTGACAAATCCCTCTTGGTTTACAGTAATGTTGTGATTCTAGAGCAAAAAGAAAAAGCATTGTGGCTAGAAATCATATTTAAACTGTAATATTAATTTTACTAAACCAAATGCTTATTACTGTTTGCTCAGATCTATTCAATGTCACCTCTAACCCTCTTGCCTCTCATTGTGATGTAATAACAAGTTTAAAACAGACTCTGGGCTGAAACAAAAGGACGGTACAGTACGGCTCCTTCCATTAAGAAGCTGGAGCCCAGCAGAGAGAGCACTCAGTCTAATGCACAGTAAATGTTGTATGCAAACTGAGTTTTCAAACTGACTTTGTCTAATTGGAATTGGCTTATTTCATTAAATCTTTTCTGCAGTTATATTGTGAAGAGTTCCCACTGGCCTTTATTCTTTCTCTTGATCAACATGTCTTCTTACAGTCACCATTAAAAGAGAAATAACTGAATTCTAGAAGTGAACAACATGTGTCCCAGAACGATCTGTTCAGCATATGATGAACAATGAACGTAAAGATTGCATGCATGCTGAACCGTTCAGGGAGTGCAGGAAAATAATTGAACTTTTTATCTTTTATAAGAACCATTATGCCCAGTATTAATGTTGAAGTCAAGACCACAGTAACCAAGACCATGACATACCCAAGACAAATGCTCCAAGAACGAGACAAGACCAAATCCAAGACATTTAGGGATCAAGACCATAAATATCAAAGAAAAATCATCATCTCGTGTGCAGGGGGTTTGTCACTCACTTAGACCGTAACACTGGGAAGGTTGCGGCCGTAACCGGGGGATATAAATCAAACTACAAATGAATTGAAGTCTGACCCACAAACAGTATTTTTTAAATGTCATTAAAACCGTTTCTTTTTCTGTGCTCTTGTCTTTTCAGGAAAAAGGAAACATTGCCGTGGTTTTTAACGTGGGAACAGACGACATTAATATTGAGGAGACGTCAAAGTTTGTAAATGACGGAAAGTACCATATAGTGAAGTTTACGAGGAGTGGGGGTAATGCCACTCTGCAGGTGGATGACCTGCCAGTCATTGAGCGCTACCCCACAGGTGAGTCACCCACTCTGCACTCTTTAATTACATCTGCTGCTGCTTTACAAAAGCGATCAAATGACCTCGAGATTATCAAGCCCACTATTAAAGCCTTATCTGTCAGGATGTTTTTGTGTTGACTTGGCATGTGCTTTAATTGCTTTTTTTATGTTTCTGTTTCCAGCAGCTGTTAAGATTATTACCAGTGTTGTGGAGTTTTTTTCCCCCATCCTCTCTGATGTTTATCGCTCTACATTAATCAATGCCGTTAAAGAACTCCAGTCTATGCAAACAGGCTGCACTTTAAAGCCTCCATAGTCTAAAATATAAACTGTAAGAAAGGGCAACGCCCACCTGCATTACCCCCCCCCCCATACATTGATAATCCACCCACAGTGTGTTCAATGGAAGTCAAATCAATACGCTATTTACAGACAAATTACCACTTTTATTGTGCCATGTAATTGTGTGCCAGTTCAATATTTATTCATCTGCCAATACAGTAGATTGATTGAATTAAAGTGACAGCGCAGACCAACCTGCAATGACAGAGTCAAATGAAACGAGCACCTGAATGAATCTATTGTTTACCCAGAATTAAACACCAGATGATCAGCATCTGGTTAAAGCATGACGATGCACTCTCATATTAATCACTTTCACAGCAAACGGCCACGATTACTCATCGTGCTTTTCATTTTCTTTGTCATTAGTGCTACAACCAATAATAATCATTGTTATTCGTGTAGCACTATTCATAAACAAGGCTTACACGACAGTAGAGAATGAATTAGCTAATTACTACCTCGTGTAATGAATGTTAAGGAATTGAAAAACAACTCTACGTTCCACTTTATGTGACTGCAATATTCGTGCTGGCTCTCGCTTGTACAGTGAAGTGGTAACTGAGGGGAAAAACTCAGCAACACTGGTATATTTCTGTAGAATGTCAAGATGTTAGCAGTTTGATGGCTTTCAAAATGAATTTAAATGTCACTGCTTGTGTTGTTGAAATTGTTCACTTTTTAACTGCTTCAAGGCTTTGACAAAAGCGACAGAGGGTTAAAGGCGTGGGCCTATTAAACAACTCAAATTATGCACTTAAATCTTCAAAACTGCTAAATTGCTGCAGGAACAAGTCTACGTTACTGCGGCCTCATATCAGAATTTAGAAACATGTGTTCACAGATTGAGAGCTTGCATAACAACCAGACAGGACAAACAGGAGACAAATTCCACCTGTCTCTTCCCTTTTGCATAATGTCTGGTGACCTTTTTTAGCTCTGTCCGGTGCATTCATCCAAATGAAAGAGGGTTTTATGACTGAGACTCCACCGTCGCCTCTTGCCTCAGGTGATATGGAGGAAGCTAATGGCTTTTGACATGCTGTGGACATGGCAGAATGCACAGCAGGGTTAAATGCCTGGATGTTACGATCTCAATCTCCAAATAACAAACCCCCTCCCTCTCCCCAAATGCTTCTGATACATACAGCTGTGCTGCTCATGACATGGATCAAGTTGGTGGAGTCATATTATTTTCATACACAAAGATGCAAGATTGATTGATTGATAAGTGTAAGATTGATAAAAATTTATCGTCCACATGTTGATAATCGATGAATTATTTCAGTGATTTTTCAAGCACAAAGAGATAAAAAGGCTGTTTCAAGCTTATTAAACGTTCAGCTCTGACGGTTATCTTGTCATTTATGACAGAAAATAAAAAAACGATTTTGATTTGATCACCTCAGGTTAGGTTGTCACAACACCAGAATTTAAATTCCGATACAAAAGTAGAAAAAATCTTAACATTACTGGTACCTATTTCGATACCATAGCAACAAAAATACAACTCCTAGGTGTTTTTTATTTTTGGGTTTTCCAAATATTGCAATCAAACTCCTGCACAACATCTAAACTGCACATTTCACTGAGTTCGAAATCCATTTTAGAACGGAGGCAATCCAGAACTGTAAGATTTAGAGCGAGTGGCTATAACAATACCTTCATATTGACAATCCAAGAGAAATTATGAGAGGAGACATTCACACAATCGGGACATTCACACCCCTAGTCTAAATCATCTCCAAAAATAGGGTACAGACTCATTTTAGAATAATCAACCTAGATTATGGCTCATTATCCAGTTGAACCGATCCGTTGAATTTCAACAGACCACCGCTGCGCTCTTTTTCTTTCACCACGGCAGCTTTGAGTTAAAAATATCACTGAAGATATGTTAGCTTTTTAAAGCTTTGATAGTTTGTGATCACATCCATGATATCATGTATTTTGGGGTGCTGATGGCGCGGTGGTTGGTGCCCCGTGTGAGGAGGTTGTGGTCCTCTGGGTGGGTAGCCCAGGTTCGGGGCCAACCTGTGGCTCCTTTCCTGAATGTCATTCCCCACTCTTTCTCACCCTGGATTCTGGCTATGCCCACTGTCCTGTCCCTCCAATGAAGATACCTTGGGCCTGATGAGATATTAAAATATCAATCATTATTCTTGAAGATAATTAGCACATAAACCAATAATCATGGTTAGTTTCATCTCTACTGCAGAGTATGGCTAAAAATATTTTTTATGAATCAAGTGTTGATATATAGGAAAAAAAATCTCTGATCTATACTTATTATTTTTGTTATATTGCACTTTTAAAATCTAGACTGAATTCTTCCTCTCATCATAAATGCTGAGTAATAGATGCTGCGGGGAAAAGTGACCGACCTCCTCCCCACCAATCAAACGTCAGTGACAAAGCCAAGTCCAGCTACCTTATTAGAGCCATTACAGACTAATTACATCCAATCACAATTACTGCACGGCTCCTCCCCTCACCCCCCAGCACAAAAAGCCATCATTCTCTCAGCTAGCCTGTAGTTTGATTAGTATCCATGTATGCCTCTAACGCACTCGTAATAGCAGCCCTCAGCCGCTTGTAGGCCACTCACAGATCAACAGTGATTATAATAAGAGCAGACAGCAAAGATAAAAAATGATGGCTGCCGAGTGAGAAAGACAGAGAGCAGGAGATTATATGGGAGGGAGGGGTGCGATCGTTCTCAAAGCAAGGAAATAATTGCTTCACCAGGGCCGATATTGCTGCCCTGGTAATCTCATTAAAAGTCTCGCACTGCATACTTGTGAGCCATTAAAAGTCTTTAGCACAATTATTAGAATCTTAAAAAAAAGCAAAACGCACATGCAGACACATAACTAGCTTCTATTTGTCATCCTCTATTCTCGCTTTCTTTCTGAGATGCACACAAAAGCCTCAGCAGCAAGAAAAAGAAAAATTCAGTGCCTTCTCCCAAGTCTTGGCCATGGAAGTAATACCATCACAATGGTGCTACCGGGCCCTCAGGGTACAGTGCAGTATCCTATACGAGCACCCAATGAACACTCGCAGCTCGCAAAGATAATGGAGAAAGTCCCTGGCCTTATTCTTCAGCTGTTATCAGAGCGTGGTGCACTTACAAAGCTCTCTGTCTCCTCCTGCACTCCCCTCTGCTCACAGTTTCCTCTATTCTTGTCCTTCCTACCCCCCTCCTGTCCACCCCTGCCCCCTCAGTCGATCTCACCCCGTCCTGTTTTCCTCACCTTGCTGTGCGGAGTCTGATTTGTGGGATACAAGGGGAAGAGGGTTTATGCTTTATCCGTCAAAGCTCCATCCTGTATCTGCTCTCTGTTCTATCCATGATCCCATTCAGCCTATTGTGCAAGCAGTCATCACTGAGCATGCTTAAAAAATGGTGCAATGGCCTGCACAGCCAGAGTTGAACAAAAAAATAAAAGGGAGCAGAATAATGAAAATAATAGTGAGATTTGTGCAGGTTGCCTCCTTTTTTAATTCCCCCCCGGCTGCATGAACAGAGGAAGCATTTGCATATTTGTTCGTCTAATGTGCCGAGTGTCTCAGGGCTTGTAATGAGATAAAGCTCCCACCTTATCGGACCACTTTATTAAAAAAAAAAGGAAACAAGTGAGCGAGGGCAGAGCGGGTCAGTTGGGACGGCTCGGCTGAATCGCGGCTGTCTGGCGGAGGAGATAAGCAGGGCTGTCCCGCAAACCAAACCAAATCACCGCTCAGCAGCAGTCACTGGCTCGGCTCTGCAGGCTCGATGAATGGGTCCTGCTGCTGCATCAAAAGCCCAGGGGACAGCATTGTTTAACACTCGGGAGTCCCACAGTGGGGATCAATACACGATCAGACCTTGATTATATCCACACTTAATTAACCTCGGTATAAAGATAGACTCAGCGTCCCACCAGGGGGGCACAGACAAACAGATAGTGTAACTGTCTTTGAAAATGGAACGTGTTTTTGCACAAATGTAGAGGATTTTGGCACAGTGGCAAGGTGTGTGTGAGCATGAGAGTGTGTATGTGCCTTCCTGCCTGTGTCTACTTTTACTTCCAGCGGTATTCAACTGCTTTTGTTTTTGTTATGACATAACGAAAACGAAGGCTGTCATTAAAAAAGAAAATAAGAATAGACCTTTCATTTATTTCATTTCTTTTTGATACTGAATGCTGGTAGTTTAATTAACGTGCATGGACTTGAGCTTGTATATTTCTTTTCTAGTTTTCTGACTACTCAAAGCACTCAAAGCATCACCTACACATTCACACACTGATGGCAGAGGCTGCTATGTAAAGTGTCCATCAGTAATAACTAATCCAGAGCATTCAGAGCAACTTGGGGTTAAGTGTCTTGCCTAAGGACACAGCCGACATGTGGCTGTAGGAGCTGGAGGTTGAGCCCCCGACCTTCTGGTTGAGAGATGTCTATCTCTGTAAACTGAACCACAGCCTCCCCACATAGGAATGTGACCGCTGATCATCAGCCTTGACACACATTTTTATAAATTTGTGTTTGACCTTTTGTCTTTAAGTGTGAATTAAACACAATATTTGTTCAAGCCATGAAGAGATCCAACAACATGATGCTGAGGCCACATTCAAAACGTCAAAGAAGGTCCCTTTCAACAGAGATTATCACCTTTATGTTGCTAATAATCTGATAATCTGGTGCAAAATGTAAATATATATATATATATATATACACATATCTCCAAAATGACATTTTGATATTATATTTCTTATATCGATGTAAGAAATGACTCGGGGAGTTGTCATTGTAATGACTGCTGCTCTTCTTCAGCCTAACCTCCCGTGTCCTCCTCGTCCTCTAAACAGCTGTAGGCTAACTGTTCTCCTGAGCCCCGTTTGAAGCTGACCTCCCCTCAGATGAGGTGTCATGGCGGCAGGAAACGCAGAGGTGACATAACTTACACCCCGTGACTGACAAACGGAGGTGACAGGACCGAACAAAGCCCAGGACCGCTCCCCTGAATGCAGCAATTAATGGATTATTCATTAATTTAACATGCTGAAAATATAAGGAAGAACTGAAATGTGTGGGTTTGAGTGTGTGTGTCAGTCAGTGTGTGTGTTATTTGTCTATTCATTTGTTTGTGTCTCATTCTTGCATCATGCTCAGAAGAAGAATCAGGTGGTGCAGAGCTCCAGGGGCCTTGCATAAGGGAAATTCGGCGCGTGTTCGACACCAGGCAGTGTGGCAGACGTTACATAAGCCAAAAGCAACTGGAGGCTGGTGTGCTCGGCATCCACCTACCTGGAGGAAGCGCACTGATTTTTTGAGCTGCTGCATTAATTCAATCCATTGTTCAGTCATTCTTAGTTTATGACAGGACTGTTCTTTCATAAGGGATAAATTAATTCTTATTTCTAAATGAATTCTTTTTGAAATAATCGATGAAAACAAAAAATCGATGCTTTCTGTCCGTCTTCAGAATATCACTGACACATCTGACGGCCAAATTCCACCAGACGCGTGCCCGGGCCGTAACAGAGCTGAGATGGTGTTCACTTCATTCAATGTGTGTGCTTCACAGGGGAAAGATGACTTGAACACAAATTAGCATGCTAACAGCTAACATTAACCAAGTTTGAGAAACATTTCTTTGACGTGTATTTTGATTTCATAGTTTGCAACATGTCTCATCTGCTAACATGGAGGAGGCGGGCTTATTGACCTGTACTTCAGCCGGCCACTCGAGGGAGCCTTTAATCTTTTGGCTTCACTCCAGACGAGGTGTTGCGCTGTCCATTCTTTATACAGTCTATGTGCTAAAATGACATGTAGGCATCTCTGAATGTGCAGAATCACATTGAATGACTGGACTTTTTTTTCCCAAAAATGGTTCGCCCTAATAATAATTAGAGATCTGGATTAGATTTGAAATATAGTCTACCTGTGTTTCTTCCTGCGTCACTGTTGAGGTAGAAATGTTCTCTAAACCTCTTTAGTTCTCCAACCTGGCACAATCAGCCGCAGCCAAAATCCTCGAGCAGCGAGACGATCTTTTTTATTCTCCGTCGCTGATCCTCTACAGTAATTCAAGCTGATGCAATTGAAAAAAGCGTCTTTTTATGCGTCTTCTTACCTCAAAGACCTTTCATCGGACTGACTGTGCATTTCTTACAAGGTTACCTTCCCTCCTTCATGTCTCCGCGATCGCTTCCCTTTTCTTCACCGAATCACTCTCCCAGCTACCGGATCTTTTTTATCTGCCAGAAAGTGAATTAATATAGTTGATGGGACAAACATTGTCAATCTGCCGGAAGAATAGAGCTGACTGAATTCAATCTGTGCAGACAATACCGAGGGGAAAAGCACTCAGAGACAGTGGCACTTTGCTGAAAGTCTCTTGTTCTGGAGAGGTTATTGGCCTTGACAAAAAAGGGGGGGGATGCAGAGTTTGCCCTCATTAATGCCGAAGTAGCCCTCCAATCATGAAGTGGAGTTTTTCTGATACTAGTCCTCTTTGTCCTCGCTCTTTCCCTTTAAATACTGTTGGAAAACTACTTCCCCATTCACTCCAGTGTCATCTATGTGTTATACTCGCCAGGCGCGTGGCATCGGCAGTATAGGAAAATCCAAGGGGCGCTGGCCGTCCATAGGCGTCGTCACGGTACCCGAAATGAGTGAGAAGAAAAGAAGAGGACATATTATCCCCCTCCTCCACCTTTTCAAACAGTCCCCTGTGGTCTAAATGAAACATCTGTGCTGTGCTTTGCTCAGAATATAAAATGAATCAAGCACCAGAGGAGGTTTGTGACCCTGTATAAACCAGCTCTCTCAGAACGCTCCGTTTTGGTGTGTGTGTCTCTTTAAATACAATGAGCTCCCCTGAGTTTTCCCCGTAGACGTCACTCCTCTGTAGCGAGAAAAAAAAATGGCGGACCTGCTCAGAAGTTTTGTTCTTGGCTGGGGGTGGAGATACCAGGGGAGGTGAGTTTTTTTTTTTTTTTTTTTTTTACCAGAATCCCACTGTGACATCACAAGGAGAGCATATTTGAAACAGAGCATTTTTCTGTGTGTTGTAAGACTTATGCAGACCACAAACAAAGGACTGGATGGATTTATTTCACATTTTGTGGATCTGTAGACACTTAGGTTACCCAAATAAATGTTCAAAAACACTTTGAAAGAGGATTTTTTCATAATATGTCCCCTTTAATGTTATTTTATAACTACCTACTGCTTGTTACCTGCTCTTTGTTGGGGAGGAGGGCACTAAAATCTTGCCTATGAGCACCAAGTGGGTCAGGGCTCTGACTTTGACCCTCCTGAAGCTTTTGTCAAAGCCTTGTGATTGAATCTCTGACAGTGTATGTTCTGCTTTGACATTGTTTTCTGACTTTTCTCCGACCAGATGCTCTGAATGTACACTGTGTTAACTGTTGTTTTGCACTTAGCTGATGTTTTCCTGTTAATTAGGCTGTGTATAAATGGGGTGGGCATGTTTAATAAGTTAAAGTTAAATCCTTTAAACCATAAAAGGTTGATTTAATAACTAATTTAAATGATGTTTTTTTTCTGTATAAATGCATATAACTAGTATAAAATCATTTTAAACCATCAAATGGGCTGGAAGAGTGGGGTTCAGATTTTTGTAATGTTTCTGTTTAAATATTGGATTGGGGGTTGGTTTATAACGTAGCTCTATTAACGTAGATGAAACATGAGCGTGCTACTTATTTTTCAATAACATAGGCCTAATTTGTTGGCTAAAAATAAAATAAAAGGAGTTTGTTCAGATAATGTTTCAGTAAACATTGTTTTTAAAATATATCAAACATTTTAAACATATAAAAACCTTGTGCCGTTGTTTAGCTCCAGCATTAAGTATGACGATTTAACCTTTGATCTTACAGATTGTAACCAATGAAATGTCTCTTTAAACTTTAAAGGCAACAATGATAACGAACGCCTGGCGATTGCTAGACAGCGAATCCCATACCGACTTGGTCGAGTAGTTGACGAATGGCTACTCGACAAAGGTAAAAAAATCACTGATTAAAATTTTAAATAAAATAATTTGAACGTAACCAAGTGGTAGAAGTTCTTCTGTCGATAATAAACATTAAAAAAAATAAATGTTCAGTTAAACTTTAAAAACCAAATGATTTGAAGAGTTCGATTAAGTTTGTCTTACTTTTCATAATAATGTATTTCTTTGAGAGATGTTTTAATACGTGTTTATTGTCAACTAAAGGTTAAAGGGACTGTAAATATGAATTTAAATCCTCTTACTGAAGTCACATGAGCATTGTTAAAAAAAAAATAATCCTCATAAATTGTGTTGCTGTAAACTTCTAAAGGATACTTTTAAAAAGTCATGACTAGTTTGCCAAGTGTTGTTTGAGACACTTGTGACACATGTTCAGTACAGTACAGTACTGGTTGTGATTTAAAAAGTGCCAGCAGTGATAAATAGAGTGCAATAAGAATTGGCATCAGAATTTTGAGTCCCTTTAACAGACATTGTAAATATGTATAGGGCCTTAGATGAAGGAACTGTAATATAAAACAAACTGAGTGCATGCTTTGTTTTTTATAGTTCAATAACTAATTCATATCTTTCACTTGAAATGTGAAATGAGCCCTATCATTTCCGTCTCTTTCATTTCCGTTCTGCGTTCTGTTCTGGGTTCTGTTCTGTTCTGTTCTGTTCTGTTCTGAAATGTTGTTATTATTATTTTATTTTTTTTCCATGTCTCCTCCGACCCCATGTCTGTCCTAACTTTGACTTGCCTCGGGTTGCTTTTGCTAAAAGGATGAATAGAATCCAAAATATCCAGAAGTGTGTCTTGCTTCTTGTGAGATTGCACGCAAGTAAAAGTGCAAATTTCACAGCCTGTAGTCGGTTTTTGAAGTTTGTTTCCCCCCACCATCCCCATGCTTGCTGTGCACGATAAGATCAAACACATACATACCGGTACATAACTTACACTTCTCTTTATGCTTAGCTTTGTTGGACGAATGCTTCTCATATTTTTCCTCGGGCCATTTTCCTGCAAACTAATCGTCCTTTTGTATGTTATCTTTAATCTGCTGCTCACACATAACATCACTAATTAATCTTTTACATTAGCTTGCCCTTTTAGCAAAGCTGCTTTGATTTTTTTTTTTTTTTTTTTAAACCCTGTGTTATTATTTCACATGTTTCTTTTGTTTCTCTTTGTAGGCATCTCATCATTATAAGTGCAATAAATTACCCGGGTTTGCCTCCACAACCCGTAATTTATTGGTCTCATTAGCCACTGGGCAAATAATCTGTCTTTCTGTCGTTGTTGTTTTTTTTTTTTCTTCCTGTTTCTGTGGAAGTGGCTGAGTCCACAGCTCAACATTCTTGTATATATGTAACGTTGTTTTCCCACAGGGCGGCAGCTTACAATCTTCAACAGCCAAACCACTATACAGATTGGGGCTGGGAGCGGGACCGGAGTCGATCGTTTCAGGGCCAGCTCTCGGGCCTCTACTATAATGGCTTGAAGGTGTTCAACATGGCCGCCGAGGGAGATCCCAACATAAGGATCCAGGGCAGCGTGCGGCTGGTGGGGGAGTCGCCCTCCTCTATCACGCCGCAGTCCAGCACCACGGCCAACCGCTCGGAGACGTCCACATCCATCATGGAGATCACTACCACCACGGCGTCCAGCCGGCGGGTCAAACAGACGACACCGCGAGAGCCTCAGCAGGTAAGATCGCCTTTAAATGAGTCTGTCGTCGGATGCTTCACTCGTGTCATTATTGTCTCCATTTGATCCATTTTAAAAGTGCTTACGATTCCCAGCATGCAGTTAAGCACATCCCGGATTAATTGAATGCATTATGTCATTATGTTCTTATGAAGTGGAACGCACGCTTCACTTTTAAGCGTCAAGTCTTTCTTCTCCTCGAGTCTTCTGACCTAAAAAAACGGAAGAAAATAAGAACATAGTTCCACCAATAGGAGCAGCTCGACAGGCTCACTGTGGAGCGTTTTCTCTCTTGGCAATCAGATGTGGCTCTGTGCAGTGTGTGTGTATGTGTGTGTGTGTTGGAGTGATAACCATCGAAGAGGTCCTCCATCATCTTTATCTGTCCTCTATGAGGTGCGCAGCATCTGCAGGAGCATATTACTTCTCAAATGTCACCATGTGTGACTAAACAATGCAACACAAATCCTATCACATGAAATGGCGATCACGTCATGCATGCACACGACAGCTGAGGTTTCCTCTGAAAACTGAAGCAGGGCAGCAATGAGACATTTAAATTAGATTTTTAAACCAAAACGTCTCACTATAAGAACATGTGATTTAGGCATTTACAAATATTTTCATACATTTTAATTCTGACTGTCACTAATTAATCACAGGATTTTCGTCATAATAATCTAAAAATAAAATGAATTACCTTAAACTTTGATGTACAGGACATCATTTTAAAACCAGTTTTTTCATCTATAAAGTGAGCTGCGCCCTGTGCGACCAGTATAAAACTCTAAGACATGTGCCGTCATGACCACAAGTGCAGCCGCCGCCATCACCCATTGCACTCAACCAGACATGAAATACTCGCCCCCATTCACTGTGGATTGCAAACGGCCATATCGCTGCACAAAACCTGCTGGGATACATACCGGCATGGAACGGGCTGGATGTGACAACTTTTTTTAGAGCTTAATTCTTTAAATATTGACGATTATACTGAATATTAAACTATTAAATAAGACCTGATATAATAAAAAGATACAATGCAGGGGATTTCAAAGACAGCCTGAGGACTCATACAAAGTTATAATGTTGGGGGGCGGTGATAGCCTTGTGGTTAGTGCGCGCACCATGTACAGAGGTTGAAGTCCTCCAAGGAGGCGGCCCAGGTCGAATCCAACCTGTGGTTACTTACTCACATGTCATGTCTCTGATTTCTGACTCTATCCACTGTCCTGTCTCTAAATAAAGGCAGAAAAAGTCCAAAAATAGTCAAAATATTTTAATCATTCAGTGAGTCAGTTGTAGGGAAGGCCCACATAGCATTTTAAAATAAGCTTAAGAGTAGACGGAAACGACCCTTTAATAAGGTATTAATCAGCTTTTACAAATTTAGTTTAGAATCACTTTTTTTGGATTTCACTCGTTTGGATTAATCCAGCCGGGAAGAGGAAGATTATAGCATCTCCAGGAGGGCGCGGGCGGGTTTAACTTCAAAACAGGAGATGTTTAAATTCTTTGATTTAAATGTTCCTTTTTGGACAGATTGTTTGACTTTCTCTCGTTACTGTTTCAATAAGATTACATTGAATACATTCCTTTAAAAGGATGATATGTGTTGATTACTTTCATTGTCCAGATTAGACAGACCGCAAATCGCTGTTCTTCAACCCGTTTTTAATATTTAATTTCATACAATGATCTTTCGTCGCCTTCATCAAAAAAACAAAAAGTGTTAAATCGACTTGAACTCTGAATGTAAAGTATTTCTCTTTCAATTTAGCAGACTGTTCAAGCTACAGCTTCGTTTAAAATTACAAACTACCACCAAGAATTTGCACCTCGTTTTCATCCTAGCAGCAGCAAACACCTCGCTCTACTCCCCCGTACCCTCCCTCCCTCTCTTTATTCCTCTGACCTGCAACCATCAAAACAGTTTGTGTAAGGGTCTGCAGATGCTGACAAATAATACAATCATAAATATTGATCCAGGGGAATGGTTTTCTCACGGACTCAGCACGGCTCATGGACCGTTGCAGGAGCATGTAATGCAGTAGAAATATCAGACAATAGACTATAATTATATCCCAGCGCCATGCCGTGTAATAAATTGCCACCAAGGATCCGAGAGATTGGCAGAAAAGGAACAGGCTTGATAAGATGGATGCCCGTCTTTTTCACACCGTTACATATGGACAGCCAAATAAATGACCACGGCCATTTAGAAAGGCAAGTGTATTAGAGAGATAGTTCTTCATTTACATGTTTTCAGCTTCAGTGGTGTGATATCATTCTGACTTTTTAATGCTAATCAGATGCAGCTCCAATGGGTAAATCAATCGCTGTTTGCCGTGTAACAATCATGAGCAGTTATTGGATTTGATTTGAGTGTTTATGTGGAGCTCAATCGTTGAGATACTTGTCCCGATTGGTTTAAATGTTTGTTATGTGTACAGGTTATAACCAGGACATCTAAGGTATCAGGTTGGTAAGCAGTCATACTGGGAGGAAAGGGATATAGATGATCTGATGCCACTACCAGTTGTGGTATTGGGAATGCCTTTGATACAGCCTAAAATCTTCTTCTTCTATTTTAGAGTCGCCTCCAAAGCTGTTTTATTAGAAATAATATTATGGCAGCCTGAAGCAGCTACTTGTATAAAATGGTGCAAAAGAAAAATGTGCGTCTAGTCAAAGAAGGCAAAGAAGGCAAAAAGTCAGCCGTAACTGTTTTCACATCGCATATTTTACGGCTACGTATATTTTCTAAAAAACATAATCATAATCAAGTATGACCTTGCCGACAGTCTTTGGCTACCGCTGAAGATAGTCTGTATAAAACATCGGTGACATCACCTATTGGCTTCGGGTTTTATAAAGTCACCATATTAGAAATATTATTCATCTTAACTTTCAATCAAGCAAGTAACAGGCAAAGAAAAGTGTAGCTGAGGGAGGCCCAGCAACAGCAAACAGCTGCAACACGTCCACCTGTCAGCACCTAATGATGTAAATGTGTAAGGTATTCTTAGGCCTAATGAGAGAAAACAAACAGATGAGTTATGAACTAATTCATACCCTGCATACTTTCAACCACATGCACTATTGGCAGGATCATACATTTACATTTTTTGTACCAGGCTGTTAACATTTGTGCTGTAAAATTTGGCATTGTCAATGTGGGGATTCCTTGGATCTTTCAAACAGCCTCAAGTGGACACTCGTGGGACTGCAGTTTTTTTGCACTTCCACAAAGGCTTTACGTTTCACCATCAAAGGTTTTTTAATCGGGGTACTCTGTATTAGCAAATGCTACAAGAAAAACTTGTGTCAGAATGTCGCTAAAATCAATCTGAAGACATGTGTTGTGCTTTCAGGTTATGTTGAAAGATCCCATCTGAATCGACCTGCAAAGGCTTTGAAAAGTGAGAATAGTCCAAGGCTAACTGTGATGGTTAAGGTGTTATCTTATGCATTCACACAGAATAAAAAGGTCATTGGATTAACGAGTTGCTCAGTCATGTAGGGGGCAGAGATGAATGAGGCGTGCAGAAGCCTGTGCATCGGAAGATGTCAATGTGTTCTGTTTGAGCCGACGTGACGACCGTCCCGCCGAGAGCTCCTGTGGTAGAACATTACTGTCTCAGGACACTACACTTACAAAGACATCGTGTCTGGCCCCGTGTAAAAAGAGATGGCGCATTCACTGTCCTTTCCTGTGAATAGTCAGCGTTTTAATCATTGTCCAGCTGTTCCATCTCTCCTCTTGATGGCTATTCAGTGAATGTTTTTTTATATCCTGAGAGGCCTGCGTTACTGGGACACATAACATTTTTAGTGAGGCCGGCCCCAGTGGAAATGGAGCTGCTAATGCTGCATGGAGGTTGGCAATATCAGGCTATAAGCATCGAAGCTCGATGACAAGGGTGCTCCAGAAAATGTACACCAGGCTGTCACATGCTCAGGTTCATTAAACATGGTGAGAACATATATCTGCTACCTTTTATAGGCCATGAGAGGTTACGATCAATACACTGTGATGTTAACCTAACATGCATTAATGTTTAAGTCTGGTTAAAGGAAGAATGTGACATTTTACACATAAACAAAGCAGAAATCAAGTATGTATATCCTATGTGTCTCTGAGTCATAACCGTCTACAATGAGGGAGAAGCTCGAGTCCCGCTGGCTGTGTTGTTGTCAGAGCCGTGTTGTGTATAAAAGCTGTTTTAGTCAAAGACTACAGAAAAGAAGAAGAACATACTCACTGATTATTTGGATGTCACATAAGTGTCACGTAAATCTCAGTCATTCTGTGTCAATTAATGTGCAACATGACGCTACTAGCTAACTAAAGTACACTAACATTAGCATGCTAACACAATATTGCAGGACACAGGTGATTGCCGCTGGAGCAAAGGGCAATTTTGTCCGCCTCTTGTAAATCCACGGCCAGGGGGCCCTCAATCCAAACAAAAGCAAAAGATGACGTCAACCTAGCATGGAATCATGGGAGTTCTCTCTGCTATCGGTGGGGTCAGCCCTATGTTCCCACAGCCCAATGGTCCCACAGATTTTTCATCAATTAGGCCCTATGTTCCCACAGTTCCCATATTTCTAAGATTTTTCTCAAAATTAAACCCTATGTTCCCACATTTCTAGGACATTTTCAAAATTAGGTCTTATGTTCCTACATTTCCCTTCAATTTAAGCCCTATCCTCCCACAAGATTTTTTGGAAGCACATTATAGTAAATGAATGACTGAATGAATGAGACATTTTATTTCGATCAGCAGCAATTTGGATGCAGCAGCATACAAATTTATGAAAAAGGAAATGTGGGACATAGGGCTGTGGGAATATAGGCACGCTCCCGCTATCAGCACACTCAAGGAAGGGTGGGGGAGGACGTGTTGGTGCTAAAGTGTATCACCGACTAGACTGATAGTCGTATACTTTAGTCAAACAGAGCTTGAACAATAGTTGTTGTTTTTGTATAATCT